GGCAAAAATAATTCCATGTCCTACAGTACCCTTCAGATACCTGAAAATCCACTTGACTGCTTCTTAATGTCGCCTTCCAGGTTTAGTCATGTACTTGCAGACTTGACTAACAACATGTGCCAAATCAAGACGAGTACATACCATTGCATACATCAAGCAGCCAAATGCACTGGCATATTGAACCTTTATCATATCTTAGATTTCTGTTTCTGTCTTAGGACACTGTTCTAAAGAAAACTTAAAATAATTTGCCAAATGAGTACTTACAGGCTTTGATTTGCTCATCTTAAACATTTCCATCACTTTCTCAACATAACATCGTTGAGATAAACATAATCGTCTTGAGTCTCAGTCTCGATGAATCTCCATTCCAAGAATCTTCTCTCCATTCCAAGAAATTCCAAGAATCTTCTTCGTAGGACCCAAATATTTCATGTCAAATTCCTAGCTCAATAAAGCTTTCAAACTACAGGCATCATTCATATTCTTTGCAAGAATCAGTATATCATTAACATACAGTAACAGAAAAATAATTGAACCATCATCAAGATTCTTCACATAAACACAACAATCATACACACATCTCTTGTAGCCAATCTGAATCATGTAGGAGTCAAACCGCTTGTACCATAGTCTTGGAGACTGTTTCAACCCATACAATGATTTCTTTAACCTGCAAACCAAATGCTTCTGTCTATGTTGAGTGAGGCCTTCTAGTTGCTCAATGAAAATATGCTCCTCCAGATCACCATGCAAGAAAGTAGTTTTAACATCCATCTGCTTTAAGTGTAAATCCCAAATGATTACTAATGCAGACATTGCCCTGATTAAAGTATGTCAGACCACAGGAGAAAACATTTTATCAAATTCTATCCCATTCTACTATGAAAATCCCTTTGCTACCAGTCGAGCCTTGAACTTTTCCCCTTTTTTTTGATACTGCTGGTTTTCTTTTGTACACCCAATAGTCTTTTTTTCCTCAGGAAGTTGAACTAACTCCCATGTGCGATTTTTCTGTAAAGACTCCATCTCCTCAACTATTGCACCCATCCATTTCTCTTTCTCCTGGCTAGTGATAGCTCATTGAAAAGTGATTGGATCATCGTAGCTGATGAGAAGTGCACAAGAGACCAAGTCTTCATAACTCAATATGCTAGGAGGCCTTATATTGGTGTGTCTTTGTCTGTCTCTGGTTAGATTATAATTCTACAGATTATCTGGAATGAAATCACGAGACGTTGGATTTGAACCTTCAACTCTCTCAGTTGTTTCTGGATGTTGTTCTAAATCCATCTACACTGCATCTGAACTGAAATTGTTTCATTGCATCTTGTCTTGATTCTACTGTAACATAAACTGCTCATCAAAAACTGCATCTCTGCTGATCAACATCTTCTTTGCAATCGAATCCCAAAACTTGTATCATTTCACACCTTTATTCTAGCCCAGAAAGATGCACTTCTTGGATTGTACATCAAATTTTGATCTTTCATCTCCAGGTGCATGCACATAAGCAGGACAACCAAAAATCCTTAAATGATTGAAATTAACTGGATTACCTATCCATACCTCTTCTGCGACCTTGCCACCCAACGATGCCCGATGTGATCTATTGATGAGATAGCATGCCATATTCACAGCTTCTGCCCAGAAACTCTTAGGAAGTCCTGCATTCAGTCTCAATCATCTTTCCCTTTCAGTTAAGGACCAATTCATCCTTTCTGCCACGTCATTCTGTTGTGGTGTCTTGCGCACTGAAAAATGCATCTGAATCCCATGCTCCTCACAGAATTTCTGAAATTGAGAATTTGTGTACTCTGTGTCATTATCGGATCTCAAATACTTGATCTTTCTATCAGTTTGGCTCTCCACCTCAGTTTTCCATAACTTGAATTTAGAGAAGACTTCATATTTCTGCTTCACAAAATACACCCAAATTTTCCTGGAGAAATCATCAATAAAGGTAACAAAATACTGAGATCCTCTCAATGTCGATTCTCTGGTAGGGCTCCATACATCATAATACACATAATCAAGAATCTCTTCAGTTTTATGTTTTCCAGTCATGAAACTGACTATATTCTGATATCCAAGAACACAAAACTTATAAAGATTGAGCTTGCATCTTTTAACACCATGCAACAGGTTTCTTCTATGCAATTCTGTCATCTCACGTCACTGAGATGACCCAGACGCATATGTCATAGCTTTGTACTATCATCATCTGACTCCACAGAATGAACTCCACCTACAACTGTACTCCCCAACAGTTTGCAGATATTACCTGCAGTCAACTTTCTTTTCATCACAGTCAGTGCACTCTTAACAATTTTGATGATCTCCTTATCCTCATCTGTCTTAGGAATGAAACCGTTTCTATGTAAAGTGCCCAAGGAAATCAAATTCTTCTTTAGATCTGTAATATATCTGACATCACATAATGTTCTAATTGTGTCATCATACATCTATCATACATCTGAATTCTGACTTCTCCAATACCACAATATTGCAGCATCTATATCTATTATCACCCAAATAGAATGAGCCAGAATTAGTTAACCTGTATAAAGTAAACCACTCCTTATTAGGTGCTATGTGATAAGAACATCTTGAATCAAGAATCTATGCATTTGTGAACTGAGTTGATGAAACTGAGAGCATATCACCATCACTGCAATCTGAATTATCATTCTGTACCACATTTATAGACTTCAATGATGCATCACTTTTCTCGCCAGTCCGCTTAATAAGCTTTGGAAAATCTCTCTTGATATGACTTGACTCCTTGCACTTGTAGCAATGAATTATCCTTTTGCCTTTGGATTTCGATCTGGAATTTCGCCTTCCAGAACCCTCCTTCTCTTCCTTCCTTCCACGTTCCTGCTTACCCTTAACATATAAATTGTTGCCATGAGAGCTTTCCCCTGCATTCTGCTTCCGCTGGTTGTGAGCCAACAATGCTGCAGTAATCTCATCAACTTTGATAGTCTCTTTCCCATATGTATGTCAGAGTAGTCAGAAAGAAGACAATGGACACAACAAAATCATCGCTTGATCTTCATCCTCAATATTCACATCAAGCCGTTATAAATTCATGATTATTTGATTGAAGCCATTCACGTGTTGCGCTCGATCAAAATTTTTTTGCATCTTCAGCCCATACAGCTTTTGCTTCAGATACAACTTGTTCGTCAGAGATTTGGCTATAAACTGGTTTTCTAATTTCTTTCATATGTTCTCTGGAGATTTTAGATTCATCATGTGGTATATAAGCTCATCTACCAGGCATAAACATATGGTTGCAGCCGCTCGCTGTTGCACTTCTTCCCAATCTTCATTTGCCCGCAAAGCCTTCAGGACTCATTATTGCGCCAACAAATATTTTACCCTTGTTTGCCACAATTCGAAGTTACCAATTCCATCAAACTTCAGCACCTCAAATTTTACACCAGAAATTACCATTTGAAAATTAAACCTGTAAGGAATATTTTCCTACAAATTCCTTCAAGATCTTTCTTTTATTTCCTGTCTTTTCCATGTCCTTCAAGGAAATTTAAAAATATTCCTTTCAAATTTCTTCTCCGCAGCCTCTATCAAAGAAAATCTTAATCCTTTCTCTTGGAACCAGTTAAGGAAAATCCTTCCTCAAAATTTCACCTCCGCGTGTAGTCTAAGGAAAATCAATCCAGGAGAATATTCCCCTGAATATTCCAGAGAAATATTTTCTTCGCGATTCTCGCCTCCAGAAAAGGAAAGGGGCGGACCTTCCAGCAAAGGCAACCTCCTATCCAACAAAGGCAAAATGGAAATTTGTGGGGGAGAATATTCTCCTGTTTCTCCTCCGTTCTGGGAAGGAAAGAGTCCTCTCGGATTTGTTCGACCAACACCAGCCGCGAACCACTTTTTGCCTCCCGTCTGCCGCAATTCAAAGCCCAAATGCTCCGCCACTGCCTTCTCTGCGAAGCTTGCGCAGACTGCAAGCCGCGATTCCAAACTGAAACTCCTCGACGAACTTTGCCGGGGCCAAAGCTTTGGAACTTTTGGATACCTACCCGCAACCTTCCTCTGTCAAATTATCTTCTTTCCTGTGGCGACGAAATTTCTCCTCTTCTACCCTAGAACCACTCTCTGATATCATTTGTTGAGTAATTAAGGTGAAGAAAACAAGAATCGACACAAATTCAGAAGAACACAGAGATTTAACGAGGTTCGGCAAAGATGCCTATGTCCTCGGGAGCAGAGCAGCAAATTCCTTTCAATATTCAGAAAAAGAGATTACAGAATTTTTGGATAACACCTAGGGTTACATACAGACCTATTTATATCCCTAGAAAACTCTGGAGTACAATATATAATTACAACATTACTCATGTACCGGCCCCAACTCACATATATGATATATGAGTCATACCATAACATAAACTATTGAGTATTTAATAAAAAAGATAAATAGAGGTCAGGGTTTTATCATGAATTTTGATATTCGAGCGAGAACTTGAAAAATGGTTGAAAAAGGGTGGTTGATTTGTAAATAGTAAGTTTTGGGTGGTCTGAAAAATTCTTCTGAGGCTCTTAGCCTTTAGCGAGCGAGGTCCTATAAATCTTATGACTGGGTTTGATCATTTTTTGAATGGAAGAGAATAGAAGAGATGGAGGTGGCAAAAGAGATCCTTTGTTCAATTTTATTTGGTTTGGAAGTAGTGGTTGCATCTAGTAGATTTCTAGAGGTGGTGAAATTGTTGGAGATCAATGGAGATAACTAACATTAGGAGCTAGGAGAGGTGATTTTGGCATTAGAAGCAGAGGAGAGGGGAAATGAAGAGAGAAGTAGAGTAGTATTTGAGTCTTTTTATTTTCATTTGTTGTTTCTATTGATAGGAGGACCTCTATGAAGCATATCTATGTAATGTGTTGAAATTTAAATATTTGGTGATTTTGCCCACTCTAAAAAATAAAATTAATTTTGTCCCTGATTGAACCAAATTTATAATCTTGTCTGACTAAATTTTTGCAAGAAATAACAAACATTCAAACATTTCACATCACATCAACGTGACCAAACTAAAACATAACCATTTTTGTAACAAATAATCAAAACTCCAAAACCTACAGCCTTGTCTTGAACATTGTAACATGCTTCAGCCTGTGCACTATATCTGCAATGGAGCCAGCACCAGCCATAACAGAGACAACAAGGGCAATGACACTCAGGCCGCGAAGCATCACCCATCGCCATTCACCCTTCCTAACTTTCGCCTGCACCATAAACATTGAAACAGGAAAATGGACTGTCAGGGGCCAAAAGGCAATCGCGCCGAGCAATCCTACGACGGCATTGAAAAAAGGGAGCATCATTGCCATCAATGTTGTCAATATGACGAAGACAGAGCGAAGGATGAGCTTGCAGAAGGTGAAGCTAAATGCTCCAGCCTTGCAGAATGGGAGCGGCAATGTGTAGCGCTTGTGGAAGAAGATAGAATCCGGCCATTTCTTCGACAGGTGATTTTCATACTTTGCATAGATGGGCTGCCCATACACCTGAAGAAGTTGGCATGAAAGTTTGGTAGATTGGCATCTATGGTAAAATCTAATTTCTTTAAAAAAAAATTGCAAGTATTTCAGTTGAATTTCAGAGAACTTACTTGAAATGCTCCAATTAAGTGGACAATCACTGCAACATTGCCTATGTCAACAAGCCAAAATGGTTCATAGAAACCTGTAAGAACATTGCCTGGAGCATTGTTGCCAAATGCAGCATATCCAACACAGCCTACTGATACATAGAATGTTGTTGTGACACCAATCCCATATAGAGAAGCCCTCTTCATTGTTTTGTTTTCCGGAGGTGGAGATTTGATTGTATCCTGCACACACACATTTATGTCAAAAAGACCATTGAAATTTGCCTTCTTCACAAAGTAAGGGTGCGTTTGAGGTAGCTTGTGTTTATTCAGATAAATAGCTTATCCTGAAACGCGACCCACGGGGTTCGACCTTATCCTGAAACGCGACCCACGAAACGCGACCCACGGGGTTCGACCTGCGACCTGCGTTTAGTGTAAAAACCCAACCGCGTTTTCAGATAAGCTACCGAAACGTATTTTTCAAATGGTGAGGCAGCGTTTTTATAAGCTGACCCAAACGGACCCTAAATATGAAAGTTCAATTGTGAGATATGTAAAAACATAAGAATTGTACGCTACGTATGTAAATTTCCCTTATATACATAAGCAAAAAAGAAATTTATACATACCTGTATTTCTGTCAAGAGCATGGAGTAGGTGTAAGCAAATGCTATGTTTCCAAGGGCTTGGAAAGCAGACCAAACCTTCGATGATGGCGACACGGTGCCACCGATTTTAGCCCCCATAATTGTCCCTCGAACCGCATGGTTTGAAGCGAGTTTGAATATACACAAGAAGAGTGAAACGAATGAGTAGGCAAATGACATTGCAGCCGCAATTATTGAGATTATTGTTATCTTCTCCAAATTGGGAAATTGTGATAGAATCAATTCAATTATTCCAAACAAGATGAGATATAAATTTCCTGATGTGTTGCAGGCGGCATTGTGGCCTTTGTTGTGGAAGCAATTTGTTCTATTGATGGACCTGTTTAAAGAAAAAAAAAAAAAAAAGTGGAATTAATTATTGATGAATGTTTTTCATCTTCAACCTTCAGCACTGATGAATTTACATCATGCTTGTTGCAGCAGTGATGATGTAGCCAACCATAGTTCCCCATAGCAGCGCGTACTGAGCAATGGCGCAGAGAAGAACATTTCCTGGACCTGTATGTAAATTTGCAGAGCAACATGTCCATTAATCTATTTTATTCTGAAATGAGGTTTACCTTTGGACATATCTGTAATTTATTTCTGAAAAGAGAAAACTGTGAATGACAAATTACCCAAGCATGACCTGACAACATCCATGTAAGTGTGATTTCTCTTCCCATGAACAGGATCAGGAGTTCTGTAACAATCACTGAGCAAATTTGCAGTATAGTAAGTCACAGATGCGCAGGCAAGAAGTGTGAAGGGGCCAAGAACCCATCCCATTTGAGCTACGCTCCATGGCAGAGCCAGAACACCTGAGCCTATGATGGCTGTAATCGCATGTGCTGTTGCAGTCCATACAGTTCCTGAAGAAGACTTGCAGCAGATAATTAATACGTCAAGGATTTTACATAATTACCATTTTATTCTTGTGTATTTACGTATCTAACAGTTACATTTTCATATTTACATGTATAGCTCTCAAATCTAATATATCACATACATATGACATGTTCTATGCATTTTTATATGGAACAACTAAACTTTGATATTTACGTTTATAACCCTTTGGTGTCAAACCTATGCATGAAGATGTGTATTTCACTTTCAAAAGAATAGTGATTGCGATGTTTTGATGTAATGTTAAAGCGATAGATGTAAATATGAGAGTTTATATGTTAGATTTGCAATTATATAACAATTATGTAGTATATATGTAAATAAAATACACATTTGGGTGGTATGTATTTAATTATGACTTAAGAAGTTAAAATGACTCAATCTCATTTAGAAAAAAAAGAAATTCATTTGCACAACAACAACAACAACAACAATCCCACTACGTGGGGTCGGCTACACGAATCATTTTTCTCCATTGCGTTCTATTTAGTGTCATATATTCATCTAATTCTAGTAAATTAAGATCATTTTTTATACAATAAGCCCAAGTCTTCCTAGATCTACCCCTGTCTTTCTTAACACAAGTCGAATCTTAAACATCTACTCTCCTACTCGGATCATCAGATGATCGACGTTTAATGTGACCAAACCATCTAAGACGACTTTCTCTAATTTTGTCCTTCACAGCAGCTACACCAACCCTATTATGGTTATATTCATTTCGCATTTTGTCTCTAAGTGTAAAGCCACTCATCCACATAATCATTCTCATCTCGGCAACACTTAACTTATGATTATGCATCTCTTTTAAAGTCATTTGCGCTAGAAAAGATAAAATTAAAATCACCATTTTCTAAATTTATTTATTATTTATTAAATAATTACTCTAAAAGCCTACATGGTATCCTCAATTAAGAGAAATAATTGGAAGGACAAAAGTTATTAAAAAATAAAAAATAAAAAAGATGAACGCACTTCTAGTTATAAGGAACAGAGATTCAATAGAAGTGATTTAAAGTGGAATCCATTCGGCAAATCCCACCAAAGGAGACATATTCCCCTCCACTTTGCCAAAAAAATTATTACGTCCGAACTCTAGGCGTAGAGGTATGTCTGGAGTCCAATGAGTTCAACAGAAAAAAAAAAAACACGTTTTCTTGTGATCCAGCCCGATAACAAAGAGGAATATTTATTCTGTGTTATTCTGTGTTATTCAGGTGTTATTGTGGTGGTATTGATGTGTTATTGTGTTATTATAACAGCGAGAATATTCCCAGAACATAATAAGACATGAACACAACCACAATAACATCTGAATAACGTAGAATAACATGGGGGAAATATTCTCTAGTGTTAAAATGAATTTTTTTTATCTTTCTGTCACCTCCACGTGGCGTGATTTTATTGGACTCCGGACGTATCTCTACGTCCGGAGTCCACGTAATATTTGTTCACTTTGCCGAGGGCGGTCGTCCATCATATCATAATAAATAAATAAATAAAATTTTGGATGATAATTTAAAAAAAATTACATACATACCATTTAATTCTTATTTATTTACATATCTAACATATAAAATTTAATTTGTATTAATCTTAAAAGTTAAAATGTTAGATATGTAAATACATGAAAAACATATATAATCATATCACATAGAAAACATCACAATTTTAACTTTTAAGATTAATACAAATTAAAGTTTATATGTTAGATATGTAAATACATAAGAATTCAGTGGTATGTATGTAAATATTCCTTAAAGTTTTTTAAAAGATTAAATTTTTTTGTTAGAATTAGCAAGCTCTTAAACAATGATTAGTTAACCAACTTATGATTCAAAGTTCATAAGTCTGAGTCTTAAAAATGGGATCTATCATACAGAGATAACTATAGTTGATTACAAGTCTAATGTTACGTTTAGTTAAAATAATATCTTAATTAATTTAACATTAATTACAATTAAATTGAAAATTTCTTGGGTTTAGTTTGATTCAATTTGTAAAAATTGCATATATAAATAAAAAAGGTTTATATTGAAAATAACAATTTCTGAAACAATTATAAGTAATTAATATTTGGATATAATGATTATAATTAGTTGATTTTTTATAATGTTTAGATGAAATAATATTTATATAAATTGACATAAAAAACGTTATTTATGAAGGATTAGAGTTGGGCTGCAGGTAATAATTAATTAACCTGTTTCTCTTAAATAATAAAAAAATAAAAATAAAAATAAAAACCTGTTCGGGTGTTGCCATCATCTTCTGCAAATTCCATCATTTCTTTCTCTTCCACTCTTTTCTCGGCTCAATCTCTCTCTCTCTCTCTCTCTCTCTCTCTCTCTCTCTCTCTATATCTCTCTCTCTCTCTCTCTGAGTGACCTTCTTAGGGCACTTTGCCATGGATATATAGAAGATTAAGTGAGTGCATTAATTTCTTTTTAATGTGTTGCTCATTAGGGATTAAGACTTGTGGTATTTCTCTTTTCACCTTAACTAATTGTGCTTAAACTTTTGGGAATTTACATACATACCATACAATGCTTATATATTTACATATCTAACACTCAGAAGTTTGATATTTACACTTATAACAACTTGGTGTCATAAACTTTATGCATGGAAGAGTGAATTTCTTTTTTTTTTAAATAGTAATAGTGATATTTTTGATATTTTGTTATAGATTTGAGTTATGCCTTTAAGAGCCTATTTGGGATTCTGTTGTTGTGGCTTTTTTGCCTTTTACATTTGGGAGAAGCAGAAGTGGTTTTTGGTTCCCATTTTATTGCCAACCTTATGTTGATCGGAGGCCGCATCGAGTCTAACGCAGAAATGGAAGGAGGAGGGTGCGGTCCGCGGTTGGAGCTTCATTGGGAAGTATCTTTGACGTTGCTGGCCATTCGGATTTCAGGTAATCTCACTCAATTTCCTCGCATATACCCTCGCCACTCCTCCTTTCTCACTCATATCTCTAGGGCTGAAATTTGGTTCCGCTCCCCTCTTTCCGCTCGGCACAGATGACTTGCTGCAACATTTCAGTGAGGTTTTCTCTTTTACAGTTTTTTTGAGCTTCATTTGCTGCCTACCTCTGCGTTTTTTGTTCCCTCTGTGAAAATTTTGACGTTCTAGGCGTATTGCATATACTTTCATGCAAAGTTGATGTTTGCAAGATAGATTAATTAGCAACATTCTTACATGTTCTAATTCACCAGTAGAAGCAATTTGATGAAATATATATGGAGAAATGCTCACTTGTTTATTTCAAACTCTTTTGTTGGTTTATATTGTTTGAATAATTATATGAATAATGGTTTTCAGTTTTTCTGACAAGTTATGTTGATCGAATTGTTTGCTCTGACCCCTTCCATATGTCAACAGCTATTTTATGTGATTTATTAAATGAATTGCAATCCAAATATGGTTTCATGGATCTTTACGATCTACATCCTGAGAAGTGCTAGCTATCATGCTCCTCATTATGTCGTACAATGAGCCCATTCGTGCAGCTTTTGAGCATTTCTAGCACTCTATAAAGATGATCAATAGGTATTTCCATGTCGGGGTTAACTCTTTAGTTAAAATGGTTACATATATCATCAAATCATTGAACCCATCTTTTACTCAAACACCTCAGAAAATTAGTAAGGATCAGAGGTACATGTCGTTTTTCAAGGCAATGATCTCACTCTCTATTCGTCCTTTAATTAATTAAAGAAAAGTTATAAATAACCTAAATTTTATCTTTTTTATAATAAGGATTGCATATGAGTAATTGATGGACGCACACGTGATGAATGAGGATAAAAAAACCTATATCAATAGGCGTGGAGCTGCAATATAGAACATATTAACAATATGCGATTTCAACATGTGTTTGACATTCATAATGACTGATTAGGGAGGGAGTGCACACGATAGCAATATATTTAAATTTACAACCCGGTTGCCTGAATACAAATTTTCGATGCCTCTTGAAGGTTGGCGTCTTTAACTAATCCGTCCCTATTATATTTGTGTTTGAACTAATCTAGTAATTTCATCATTATGCAGGAAGGTGTTATCTTGTCGATTCGAGATATCCGCTGCAACTGAATTTTTTGAAGCCATTTCTCAACATGAGATATCACCTCGCCGACTTTGAGCGCAACAACCAAGTGATTAAAGGGAGGAATTAGCTGCTCAATAAAAGAAACTCGTCATTACACAGTGTTATCGGGCGAGCATTATATGTATGGAAGAAGAAGCGAGTCATACTCTGAGATATGCTTACATATTCTTTCAGAAAATATGTCAAGATAATTTTTGCAACAACTGTGTTCCATAATTTTCTACGGAGGCATCCATCTCAAGATGATGTCGATTTTAGGGTCTTAGATGATGATCCTACCTACATAACTGAGAAAGCTAGCCAGCATCTGTGCAAGAAGAGAAATGCAGGGCGAACAAGTACAACACTTCTGAGGGAGAAGGTGTCAAAGAGATATTATAGTTGAGCGAGGAGATTACTAATGGTTTGGTGAATGCAACGACCTTACATATGTAGCATCACATAGTTATTTGTTGTTGATGATTCATATTTCATCTTCATATATTTTTTCTGAATGTATTTTTACAAATATATATAGCAAACTGTGTTGTACCTTTTTTTGCATCGATAAACTTTAATTTTTAATTTTAAGACCGCTTATATTTTATTTTAGAATTTTTCGAATGTTGTATCAACTTAATTTTTTTAATTAGAAAAATATTGTATTATAATAACAAGAAATATGAGCTCATGATCATCCAACAATTCGAAAGTTCCACTTTGTTATTGTGGTGACAAGTGTGTTCAGTACCAGTCTAGGAGGAAAGACAACTGTGGGAGAAGATTTTATTGTTATTCTAGAAACATGACTCTTGCAGATTGCGACTACTTCAGGTTGATGACATTGACGAGGTACCTCCTGATCATGATTAGTCGATGAGAGAAGTAGAGATGAAGAGGAGATTGTCTCGAAGACTTGATCATCCAAAATTCAAGTCAAACATCATTCTAAACTTGCTGATTACCTTTGTTGTTCTAGTTATTGTAGTCATTTGCTTTAAATAGCTAATCATTTTTTATGTATGAGAGTATTTTGGACTAGATTATCAATTTTTAGCACTACGAACTCTTTCTATTATTTAATTCTGAATTTTCTGAAAAACTGTACTTTTCTTAGCAGAAACAACATCACAACAGATCTCTCAAACAGACATCTCCTTCTTCATAAGTAGCTTTCTAATAGTTTCTGAAAAGCTACTTCTCTAAGAAACAGCTTTACATCAACTTTTTTGAAAAAAGCAACAGCCGCCCCAAACACACCCTAAATATGAATGTTTTGTTGTTAAAACATGTAAAAAGATAAATCATGTGGTATGCATTTAAATTGCCTCTAACCATTTTAGAACATTAAAGTGTAGTTTTCGTTTTATAATATGATTAAATAATAGATAAGTTTTGAAAAGTCAATGGTATTGAACTAGAAAGAAGGATTATCAAAATTGAAAGTTTAATTAATGGTTAAGTTCAATGATGCAATAGATATTAAAATTATTTTTATTTATGATTTAAATGATATAATAAAGGTGTAATAATGATTTTTTCATCAATTATATATACAAAGTTTCAAATCAATACACTTCACTTGAATATTTGAATATGATTTTAATTAAAAAATTTAAGACAAAATATTTTAATAGTCTTACCTATTATAAAGAAAACTTTTATTTTTATACACCCAATAAAAATAACAAAAGAAGGGCAAACATTAGAATCATGCATTTCATAAGAAATCAAATTGATTCACTAGTTAAAAGGTTCAACCTTCAATTATAACCAGTTCTAGCAAATTTCATGCAAGTGAATTGTTCAAATTGGTCAAACTAGTTTGTATTTTTTTAAAACATGCTAAGATGTTTCAAGTAACAAAATTAAGTATCCCTTTTAACAACATTTTTCCATATAGTGCATGCATTATTGAGGAAAATATTGGGCGCAGAGACCGCACGTTCGGCCAATGAGCCGTTGTCTGTTGTCCGGACATGCAGTCATCCGCACATAACATTTTTTCATATTATTGATTTCAAGTTACCAAAATGTATTATCATCTTTTAAAAAAATTGACCACTTTGTACTCATAACGAAATTTAAGTTCATATAGTAACTGATCAAATACACTTACAATTTCATCTTAATGAAATATCTCCATAAAAATATTTCAGATGAAATTATGTCTTTTTTTTTTACATTCAAGGACTGTTAGTAAGACTTTATCATGTCAAAATCAGTTCACCTAGTTTAACATTTGAATGATTGTTTTGAGAAACTATCAATTCCACAACCAAATCTTTCACTGTCATTTTGAACAAATTCCATTGCATCTCCCCAGTTTTACAATGCCTTCTTATCCACAAACTTCTCCTCTCCTCACATGCAATTGTTCCTGCCAGTCTTCTCCAACGTGCTTCTTCCCACACTCCGAATCACTGATCCATCAACTTCTCTTCCTCTCACACGCTATATGTCCGATCATTGTCTCTCTTAGGAGAAATATTTAGGCAACGCACGCAGAATTGGGTGTGTAAAGTAGGTTATTCAAAGGGTACTAAGGGTTGTATCCATGTTATTGGGGGTATAACCTCACTATAACCTCATAATAACCTCCAAGTAACCTACAATATATAAAGTAAACTATAAATATATGAAAACAGAACGGCAGATCTTATTTGTAGGTTATTGGGGGGTTATAGTGAGGTTATACTCCCAATAACACGGATATAACCCCCCAATACCCTTTGAATAACCTTCTTCCGCACCTAATTCTGCGTGCGTCTTCCGCACCTAAATATTTCTCCTCTCTTAGTGAGAGCATTGTTCACTCCACACAACCATCATCGAGCAACACATTGTAAATCCCAGCTTCCAGCTTCACTGGAATCAAAACCTGGAAAATCTCCAATATCATAGCCAGATACATCCTTAAATTCCTCATTCAACCCAACAGCAAACTTCTCCACTTCACTCCCCCCATCTTCAAAGTAATCCGCCACATGATTCCCCAGCGATATTCCACTCAAAGCCGCAGCTTCCATACTCGAACCCAGCAACCAGTCCCCACAAATGCCCGCCCGTCCATAGGGATCAAACACGCAAGGAACTCCAGGTGTATTTCTAGGCAGCCCCGCACCCCAGAGCTGAACACGAGAGTAAAATGGCTGAGGAAGCGACCCCTTACACAGTCCCAGAGCAGCTTCCACGCCATCAATCATCTCCTTCTTCACCTTCTCCGCTGTGGCATTAGAAATATTTTCCTGCGGACATTTGTTTCGTCTCCCATAACTCGCTGTGCTGAAAAAGGTCCAACATTGATGGCCGCCATTACTGTCCCGCAGAAGAGAAAGCTTACTGGTATTGTTACCCATCCATGAAACAGCTTCAACACCCTTCACAAAAGCTCCTTCCACTGCTCTGCACCCTTCATCCAATGGAACAGGAAGCGGGTCTTCGAATGCAGCAAGAAGAGCCCAGATTGAACTGAGTTCAAGCTTTTTCATCTGTTTACAGAGCTGCGGCAAGCCGGAAAAAGAAAGTAAGCGGTTTGCACATTTTCCATTATGAGCGATAACAATTGCATCAAATGAACCACGGGTCCTCTCCTTCTCTCTCAAATGCCACATCCCATTGAAAGGCTCGAGCTTGCTGATCCAGCAAGGTCGAATAATCTCAACCAAGTTGGTACCTTTATGGATTGAATCTGCAAGTAAACGCATACCTTCGATCCCGATGTACTTAGCAGCAGAGCTTTGGATTGGGGTAAATCGTCCGCCAGCTTCAAGCTCACCAATCACGCCCTTCCATTCAGTAACCAAGCCTTCAGAAACCCACTTATGAACCAGCTTCTGAAATCTCGCATCGCGAGCGGTAAAAAACTGAGCTGCGTGATCAAAGACCAGTTTTTTCTGGGATTCGACCAAGGTCCGCGTAGCCATTCGACCTCCCAAGCCATGAATGCCGGTGTCGAATACAGTAGATCGAAGAATGCCTCTCGGGGCGAGAGGGGGGGGGCAGAGGAGGCCCGAGAGGCCGCCGCCGATGATGGCGATTGAAGAGTTGTTGGATACCGGGGTGGTGAAGATGACTTGCTCCTGTGAGAAGCTCTTCTTGATGGTTGATCTCCGGGAGGTTCCATAGGAGGTCGGTTTCCTTCGAGCAGGGCGTTTAATGGGGCGGGAATGGCTCGAAGTTTCGGCGGCCATGAATCCTTCCTTTGCGGCGCATAATGGGGTTAAGGTTAGGGTTTGGCGGAGTTTGGGGGTTTTATGAAGTAAAGGGGAGAGCTTGATGGGTTCGAGTATGAGAGAGAGAGCTTGAAAAGCTGCGATCATGGCCGGATTTGGAACGAGGGGGGATTGAGCGATTGTTGCAGGGAGCGGTTGGGAGAAATCTGAGATTTTGGACTGGTGGCTTCAGATAAGATAGGTCGATGAATGGGCCGGGCATCTACCCAACCAGAGGCCTGGTGGGCCTGTACAAATAGTAAGTAAAATATGTATTTTAAATACATAAATTTATATGGTACATGTATTTATGAAGTGTTATATTTATTTTCTCATAGTTTTATATAATTAGCATTTTAAGCTTCAAAAGTGTATCACAAATTATTTATTTATTATATAGTATTTATAAAAGATACTTCTTTGATTTCCCGTTTATTACATATTAAGATGGTTACATATTAAGATGAATTTTATTTTAAATAAAATTTATATTTTAATTAAAAAATACAAAAGTTTTTTTAAATATTAAACCACATATACGGATGCATGAAAATTTTGATACCAATTTAAGGTTAAGTGTAGTTAGATTTATACACAAAAGAGAGGGTAAATTGATGTTATTAAAAGCATTAGTTAGTTGTGCAATTTAATGTCTTGAAAGGAAAACACTAATGAAAGCTAAATTTTTTAAAATGAAATGCACTATATAAATTAGGAAAATTAATGAATTGATCTTAACACAAACTATACAAGTATAGAGGGAAAATGAATAAATAATGTGTATAAAATTCTACAATGGAGGGTTTTACCTTTTACTTCTTTTTCAACAATATATTTTATTACAATCAAGCATGTTAGAGAACTCATTCTGGTTATCTTATGTAGTCTTGCAAGTGACATTTGAAAAGACAATCTAATGGTATAGCCAAAATGATTAAACTAATGCATGAGTTATATTACTTGCAAGCACACTTGGGGCTACAAAAGAACCAAGCTAAATAGAGCATGAGGTTTATTATTATTATTATTATCTTAATTAGAGCATGAGGTTGTTTGAGCTTGAGCATATTTCTCAAAAGCTTGTTTAATTTAAACTTGTAGGATAGTGTTCAAGCTCAAGCTTATTTATTAAACTTTTTTTAAGCCTCCTTTGAGCTCATCTCAAGATTGTCTATTTTTTGATTAATAAGTTCTAAACACACAACTTATTTGAAAAAATATGATAGCTTTATCAAGCTGAGCTTAGCAAATGAGAATTTAATTCAATAAGTTTAATAAATATGCCTTATCCTACCATGCAAAGCTTCTTCACACACCACATTCTTTTTATTGTCTTTTCAAGCATCAAGCCTTAATCAAGCTTTTAAACTAGTTTAATCACAAGCTTTAAAAGTGGACCTCTTCTAGTTTCCTTTTTTTCTTGACCTTCTCTTTCCTCTTCTTTCTTTTTTTTTTAATTCTTCTAATATATTTTTTTATATTTCACAATGTTATGCTTTCATGTCAATCAAACTTTCATACAATAACTTATGTAGCATCAACTTGAATATAAAGCTATCCAAATCAAATGAAATCACCTAACAAATTTCCAAACACCTACAAAAGAAAGTATGATATCCATGCCATCAATATGAATAGTGAGTCAACACCAAATAAATAGCCCAACTCATTTCAAACTTTTAGGAGTATATTGATTCAAATATATTCTAATTAAAGGGAGGATAATTAGCCTAATCTAATTGATGTGTTAAGTGGTCTGGGTTGACTAAATATTCGGTTTTAAAAAATGATCAAAATTATTGTTGAATTTGAAATTGTCCGAAAAACATACCCACGGGATAGAATTTTGATAAGAAAGTGAAATAAAGAGAGAGCACAACAATGAACAGTAAAGAATACGTAGCTTTTATTCCATAAATGATCCCCTATTTTTGGAGATAGGGGGTACAATTATAAGATTACACTTATTGTCTTGCTTTATTAGAATTATGAGGACTATTTTGGTATTTTACATAAATGAAACTAGTGTTTTACGTGTTTTCATCGATGGGTCCTTCCGAGATTGAGGAACCTACAGGCCAATTCGACTGATAGAAGAGGGGGTAGTTAGTGAGCCAAGAGTAATGACTATCGATCAACTTAAAATTAATTAGGTCGAGTTCTTTGACTTGTTCCGAGCTGATTAGTGTCGATCAGTTTGCTATACCGATTGTTTTTGTTGTTTACACTGTTCATAAACATATTTTCTATATATATTATTTAATTTGATGTATTTATGTATCAAATTGGTTTCAATATATATATATTAGTTTACAAACAATGAAACATTGATACTAGATGAAGGAGACAAGTAGCATTTATGCTAATATTTTTATATTTGCATTTAGGCCTCATTTGATTCCATGTAAAAGAAATAAATGTTTTATACAGTTGTTTTTATTTTCACTTATTGCAAGTGTCAATAAAATTTTCATTTTTAAAAGATTTTAGAAATAATTGCAAATTCTAAATTTATATGAATTTATGAATTTTAGATCGCATATAATCAAATGTCAGAATTTAATAAATTAAATTGATATTTTTTTATAAAAAAAATTATTTCTTTTTTCCTATTCTAATTAAAGAAAAAAAAGCTATGATATGATATTCTTTTATTTTATAAGAATTTTACGTCCATACTTTAAATTTAAAATTTGAAGAAATAACATTCATTAGTTATCGAGGCCTAAACGATGAAGCTCCATTCTTTTAACAAAACATCAATTTATTGTTGTTGTAGATCCCAAATGGCAGCATCTGTTCCAAGGATGTGACTTTTAAAGGAGTTTTGCTGAACGACAAAACTCCTTCAAATCAATTGTACAAGATTTTATGTGTTGTTGGATAAAATAAAAGTTTATAGGTGACAATTTCTCTCAGGAAAAAATATTAAGTGTGAAATTTAGATGTAGAGTTACATCTGGATAGACAAAAAAATAAATGAATACAACGTTGTACTCATTGTATATGTTATACATATTGTACTTCTATTTTGTGTGTGTCTGAATGTATCAGGCCTCTACATGCAATATTTTTTAGGACGTTTTTTAAAAGGAGCATGTTGATTTATTAAATGAAGATTAGGAGTATGACTTGAACCTAACATGAATGTAGGTTCAGCCGAACTTAAACATAGCCCTAAATGTTGGGTCAAACCCATATTAGACCTAAAACTAAGTTCAATCTAAACTAAATATTGGGTCTAACCCATATTAGACCTAACCTAAACCTTAAACTTAGGGTCAACCATAATTGAACCTAACCCTTAAGTTCAACCCATAAGTTCAACCCAAATTGAACCTAACCCTTAAGTTCAACCCAAATTGAACATAACATGAATATTATGTCTAACACAAATTATACATAATGCTACATAACCCTAAACTTTAGGTTTAACTCAGATTGAATCTGACCCTAAAACCCTGGGTCCTACCCAAAGTTGGACAGCCAACTCTTTTAGGTTCAACCTACATTGAACTTAAACCCTAAGTCTAATCCAACTTAGACTTAGTACAAATTGAATCCCCTTAGGTCCCACATAAACCTAATTCAACTAAATTCACTCGGTCAACCTAACCTAACTCGGATTAGACCCAAATCAACTAAATCATAGGGTCAACCCGATCTAACTCGGGTTAGACCCAAATCAAATAAAACATAGAGTCGACCCGAAGTTGGGTTAATCAAATTCAACTAAATCATAGGGTTAAGCCGACTTAACTCAGGTTAACCCAATTCAATTGAATCATTGGACCAACTTGACTTAAATCAAGTTAACTCAAATCAACCCAATTTGACTCTCAACCTCAAACTTTGGAGTGTTTAATTAAGGATTTATTCAAGTCTAATCCAACTTAAACTTCAGTAATAATTCAAGTCTAAATTATTTTGAACTTTAAACAAGTCAGATATAACTTAAACTTAACTCAATCTAGGATGATTAGTTTGAATCAGCTCAGTCTAACCTAAGTTGATTCTAAGTTAATGTGACTTGATGATGACGGACTCGGTATTTTATCGAGTTAGTTTAAAGTCAAGTAGGTTTAGTTCGACTCCAGTTAAACTAAGTCAACCTAAATTAAGCCTATTAAACTTAAAAAAGGATTGAGGATAATCCGAGGGACAACTAGCCTAATTCAGGTTAACTTGGATTACTTAGAGGCTCACTTTGGGTCAGTTCAACCCAACTTTAACTAATTTAAAATCAACATAGATCTAGGTGACTAGAGGTTAAGCAGGGTTTAACTTCTCATACGAGAATAAACACACACTTAGCCTCAGTCAGGAATAACTTGGGCCAAAAGTATCAAATCAACCTAAAAAAATGACATGAAATTCACCCTAAAAACCTTTAAAAGTTAAACTTTAACTAAGAAAAAAAATGCAACTTGGTTTGAGAAAGTATTTTGTTGGAGGCAACGCATTGCTGCTAACAAAATATCTTCCAGCCACTTGTGACTATCAAATCACAAACCTCAATGACCCTGGATGATGAAACCATAAGGGCATGAATTGGTCATTGCAACAAAAACAAACAAAATGGAAAAAATAAAATTAATCGGCTACTAAGTGTTAAACAACTTAAAATTTTCAACTCCTAAAATTAAAAAAATATTAAAACTTAAATGAAACCTTAATGAACAAAGATCACCGAATGCAATTTGAACCCAACAACCCGAATCTAGGAATATCTCTTGGACGATGCAATCCGTGGTTGATGATAAGAATCTTTCAGTCATAACATGTTTGACCACCTCTCATACTAAGTAAATTAGGGACCGAGTTGTCTAAAAATTAAAAATTAACAAACAAACTAAACAAGAACATAAATAACTTTCTGTTAACCTTTTTTTGTAGCGATGCTAAAAAAAAAAAAAAAAAAAACGTCACCTCAAATTTATTTTGCTTGTTATTAGGGTGTACTAACTCTGTTTTGTAGGAATGGACATTCAAAACCCGGAACGAACCTCAACTAAATACAAACCTATAGGAGTGTCTAAGATCTTTAGGACTCTACTACCCTTAGAATGAGATGTTAAAGTTTCTTTCCTTGATAACAACACTTAAACTTTTCAAAAATAGATTTCAACTTTTATCGAGAGTTTTCTTAAGTTCTTTTGACTACTTAAAATGTAATTAACTACAAGAGTTTACTCTCATAGAAGAAGTTGAACCC